AAGGCATTGGCAGTGGGATCATTTGTGAGTGTATCATTAATCAGAATATTGTTGGAGTCAGAATTTGATATACCGGATAATTTTTTAAGGTTATTGAAGTTATTTGTTAAACAATTTTTATGGTAATTGGATCTGGCATTTCTTGTTTGAGTGGTAGTTTGAGTTGCGCAGCCGTCTGTAGTCCTCCCAGTCAGCGACGAGCTTTGAAGTATTGAATTTAGACCAAGCCTTATCCCTTTTCCTGTAAAGACTGAGCAGCTCACCATTTACCCAGGGGAGATGGGTTCCCTTAACCCTGATTTCAGTCAATGGTGCGTGTTTATTGATGACATTTAATAATTCTGTGTGAAAGTAGTCCCAGGCTTCATTTATAGAGGGTATTAAAATAAGTCTGTCCCAATTAATATTTAGTATGTCACTAATGAAGTTATTTAGTTATGTATGTTGAGAAATTTTGTTGTACGGATTTTGATAAATTTTGGTGGAAGACGGGGGCGTTTAATTTTCCAGATACAGTAAATAATGCAGTGATCACTGAAACAGTCAGATAATACACCAGATTCAACAAATCTATCAGGACGAGTCACTAAAATCCAGTCCAGAAGAGTTTGGGATGTGGGGCTGATTCTTGTGGGATCATTTAACAATTGAGAAAGGTTGGAGCTGTTAAAAGAGTGACGCTCAGATGCAGAAGAGCGAGCCAACCAGTTTATGTTAAAATCACCTAATATGATGAGTTAATTGTTATTGCCTAGGGATGAGAGAGTAGAGAGAATGTTTTTTACAGAGTCGGATGGAGAGTTAGGCGGTCTGTAGACATTGCCAATGATGAGATGTTTGTTTTCATGAAGAATTAAATTAACAAATATAGCCTCAAACTGTGTTGGTTTCTCTGTGGGTGAAATCAGATGTGAGTGAAAAGTAGATAAAATGTAAGTGGCAACTCCTCCTCCTCTGGAATCTCTGTCTGCTCTGTACAGTGTGTAATTGTCCAAATGAATGACATTGTCAGAAATGCCAGGAGAGAGCCATGTTTCAGATATTGTAATAACAGAGGGCTTATTGTAGGTTACCCAGGCACGAAGCAGATTGATTTTAGGTAACAGACTCCTAATGTTCACATGAATAATTTTAATACCATTAACCATACTTAATGAAAGAGAAGAAGTTAGAGAAAAAATAGTGTAGAGAAAATGAATATAATAGCAACCAGTCAATAACATTTACATTCATACACACAAAAACATGCATACAAAAGCAATAACACGCACACAAAACAAAAATAGCTTGAAATTGCGGTATCTGTCAGGGAAAATCATAGTGTCCTTATAGAAAAACAAACACAAACAGGCAAACAAACCCCAAACCCCCACTCTGGAGTCCCCAACTCAGAAAATAAAAATAAAAACTAGAAAAAGTTAGGGGAAAAAATAAAAAGCAACCCATATGGTCCAAACGTAACCGCAGTTAGTATTTTAGGCTATATGCCTACCTCTTTTCTGTTTAACTGACATAACAAATAAACGGATGGTGTTAGAATAATATTCAGAGATATTGACGGTGGTGAGCGTAGTGCGTCACCGGCAGGTGACGTCATCACGTGCGGAAGTAAACAGAGTCTCACGCGGACACGTTTGTTGACAAGCAGTGTCTACCGGTGGAAGATACAGGAGACTCACTGCTTGGATATGAAATCCTCCGCATCAGATGGGTTCTCGAAGACGTGCTGTTCGCCACCCTTCTCCAGCTTGATCGTTGCCGGATACAACAAGAAGGCACTGAAGCCAGCACTCCGTGCCTGGTACATGGCCTGGTAGCATCATGGATCTATTATATTAACTGGATAGGGTACTACTAGCTTGTAGCTGAATAACCCATGTGCTCAGGGGATTCTCGCAGTACTGCAGACTGAACCAGACTAAATTCACGAGGGCTACCCAGAAATTTTCCCCATAGAACTCAATGCAAATTAAAACAGCTCAACCTCAGCTGACAGAGAACCTGACAGAGAACCTACAGCTTTCATAAAGGTCGGATTTTGTGGGGATTTTAGTGTCCCTTGTCATCTTGAACTTTTTTTTTCTTAAATCCTTCGGTTTTGTTTAAATCCACACTTTAGTGCCACAAACTCGGTGTGAGACCCACACACGCGTGTTTGGCGCAACGCATTATGGGAGATCATACACTGCGCAGAACCGGGAGGACCAGACGATGCCCAAATACAGGAGAGTTTCCCATTAGATCTTTGCGAGTTTCCCATTAGATCTTTGCGAGTTTCCCATAGATCTTTGCGAGTTTCAGGCAACTTCCGCTAATCTTTCAGCCCCCATGCCGTCATAAAGCGCCACTGAGCACAACCATTCATTTGAATAGGGCGCCATCGTGGATCGCCGGGGCTTGGGTACCATGGACGTCTGCGTTTGGATGTGATGTCGCTGTAGTCCGAAACAAAGCGGAGAGATTTCCCAGACAGCTGGACAGGAGCTTTCCTCGCCTCATTCAGGATACGGTCTCTGTCAGTGAAGCGGAGACACTTGGCTATGATCGCCCTGGGAGAGGAGCTCTGTCGAGGTGGACCAAGGCGGTGAGCTCTCATGAGCTCAGGAGGAGCCGCAGCTAATCCAGGGAACCACTTGGGGAGATTCAATGAGAGGTAGGATAATACATTCCCACGTTCTTCTCCTTCCTTCACATTCAAAATGCGGATGTTGTCACGTCTGGCTCTGTCCTCGAAAGAGACAATCTTCTGTTCCATTTGGATTAGTGCATCATTGAGCTTCTCCAAGGAGGCCTCATTATTGTGGACACGAGTGTCAATGGAAGCAACTGCAGTTCAATCTGGAGAGACTCAGAAGACAAAATTCAGTTTGAATGTTTTTATTGATAGGTAGTTTGGCGTCCTAGGCCCCCGTGCGGCAATTAGGGCCAGCGAGGCTCCTGCTGAGTGCGCGCACGATCCCCCCGGGGCCTAGGAACTGGTGGTGGCATTAGGGCAGCAGGAAAGAGCGCACGCTCGAGCAAGGAGAGAGAGGCGGAGGAGGGGAGGCGGTGGTTTGCGAGGCTTGAGAAGGCCGTGAAGTGGGAGTCTCCGCTTTTAAGCTGCTTGCCTGGCCTGCATAGGTTGGCTGGGAATGGCCGTTTGCTGTGCGATAGGCCGAGGATGAGAGGCAGGCTTGGAGGGGATAGCTTTGGCAATCAGTCTACCAGAGTGAACCTTTGCGAGCTCCATCACGCTGTGTTTCAATATCTGTCGCATGTTGAGACAAAGTGTCTTTGATACAGCTGAGTTGTTCCTCCAAGCGCTCAAACCTTTCCTTGGATAAGACCTCAGCTCGTTTAAAAAACTTTTCGAGCATGGACTCGAGGTAGGCCTCTGTGAGCACACGAGCAGAGGCTACAGTGTCCTCTTTTGGTTTGCTCATAGTTAGTTTTGAGCGAGTGGAGCCAGACATACAAGTAATGTGAAGTGATCTTGCGTGAATAAGGCTTGTTGAAATGGAATAGACCGGGTTTATCACAAAAAAACACTGGGGGTTTTCAAGAGGGGACACTTCCTACTCCGCCATCTTGATGCACGTAACTTATGTGTGTCTCAGGTTGTACTGTTTATGGCATTGCTCCTGCTGCCGCTTTGACACAAATACACCTTAAAATGGGTGTTTTTTGTGTGGCCCTGGGATGCGGCAATGAAGATGAAAGTTACCAAAAGAAGAGTGTGAAAGATCTTTGACTTATTCAGAGAAGGCGACGGTCCAAACAAACTGAGAGAAGACACCAGCGCCAGGTCCATGAAACTAGTTCTATCAAGCTCCAACTAAAACCAATTTAACGTGTTTCCTGCATGTTACGTCTGGGTCTGGTCCCTGGGTTAGCGATTATTCAGTTGAATTTCGACCGACCAATCAGAGAGCACGGAAGGAGAGTGTTGTATTTAGTTGTGGGTAACATCAAGAGTTTGCGGGAAGGTCGTAGTTTGGCGATGGCGACAAATGCAATAGTAAAGTAATCTGATCTGGTTCTTGGACTTAAACGTCGCAAAGACCAAAGACATGGTCATTGATTTCAGACGCGTCACATCCAGTGACACCAGCGTCATCCACGGTGGGTTTGTAGAAATCATGGTCAGTTACAAGTATCTGGGAACAACGATAGACAACAAACTGAAGTTTGACAAACACTGAGTCTATCATTAAACGGTCGCAGCAGAGAATGTACCTGTTGAGGAAATTGAACTCTTTTAATGTAAACAGGACAATTCTGAATCATTTGTATTGTTCTTTTATTGAAAGCCTTCTTAGCTTTTCTTTTATCTGTTTGTTCCAAAGCCTGACGCTGAAGGACAGAAACAGGTCACAGAGTTGTGAGAACTTGCTCTAAAATCACAGGTGGTAAACTCAGAGACCTTCACTCTCTGTGGGAGGAACAGGTGCTGAATAAAGCTAAATGTATTCTGGCTCAGCCCAAACATCTGCTGATCGCTGACTTTGTATTGATGCCTTCAGGGCGTCGTTTTTATGCTCCAGCACAGAAAAAAACGTTTCTCCAATTCTTTTGTGCCCTCTGCCATAAAACTGTTGAACTCTGGTCGAGGTGGTTGACTTTTGGGAATTGTGTAGTTCAGTGTTGTTGTGTAACTTATTTTTGAGACAGAGAGAGACGGAGAGAGACAGAGAGAGACTGAGAGTGACGTGAGAGAGACGGAGAGAGACGGAGCGAGAGACGGAGAGAGAGGGAGAGAGATGGAGAGAGACGGTGAGAGACGGTGCTCTCTCACATGAGGAGGATTGTGTTGTTCCAAACTGGAGCATGGTGTTGTGTTTGTGAAAAGACAAAACAAAGACAATACAGAGTAAAGCTTTTAATGCAGTCAGAGGTCACAAGTCAGAGGTCACAGGTCACAAATCAGATGTTAGAGGTCACTGGTCAGAGGTCACAGGTCAGATGTCACCGGTCAGAGGTCACAGGTCACAGGTCAGAGGTCACCGGTCAGAGGTCACAGGTCAGACGGTGAACAGCAGGTGACCACTGAACGTGTTGTAGTGATCCGTGTCGTCGTAAATACGTCTGTTAATCCAGAGAACCACATAAACCACGTCTCCCGCCTCCAGCAGCACAGACATGGAGTTGGACGAGGAGCCCCAATCTGATGACTGGGCCTCCACGGCTGTAACCATCTTAGATCCATTCTTCACCAGAGAAACTATCGCTGCGTAACCTCCAAAGACTTCTAAAATATGAACATGGAAGTGGTACACTCCTCTGACTGGGGCTGTGAAGATCCCTGCAGCAGACACACAACAATACACACATTACACACAACAATAGACAAAACATTACACACAACAGTACACACATTTCACACAACATACACACAACAATACACACATCACACACAACAATACACACATTTCACACAACAATACACACAACAATACACACATCACACACAACAATACACACATCGCACACAACAATACACACATTACACACAACATACACACAACACTACACACCTGTGTGTGGGTTGTAGGCGTTCCCAGTGTTGGTGATCACATGTTTGTAGACCAGTGTAGTCTCAACACTATAAGGACCAAACCGCTGAGATCCAGACTCTACCAGAGCTGTAGAGAAGGCCACCTGCCTCACTGCAACAGAGGAACCAGAGGTGGAACCAGAGCCAGAGGTGGAACCAGAACCAGAGGTGGAACCAGGGGTGGAACCAGAACCAGGGGTGGAACCAGAACCAGAGGTGGGACCAGAGGAACCAGAGGTGGAACCAGGGGTGGAACCAGAGGTGGACTTGTCCCCCACCCGGAGGCGGAGGGACGCGACCCTCTCACTCACCGGGGAGAACTCCAACACATGGCGGCTGAGATGGGGGGCAATGAGAATGGCCACCCCAGCTCGCTGCCTCTCCCCGCGGGAAACTCCAGAAAAGTGGAGCGTCCAACCCCTCTCAAGGAGTTGGGTTCCAGAGCCCAAGCTGTGTGTGGAGGTGAGGCCGACTATCTCTAGTCGGTATCGCTCAACCTCCCCCACGAGCTCGGGCTCCTTCCCCCCCAGTGAGGTGACGTTCCACGTCCCAAGAGCCAGATGTTGTGTGTGCGGACTGGGTCGCCGAGGTCTCCGCCTTCGACTGCCGCCCAGTCCTCTCAGCACCGCGCCACCACGGACCCCTCTGCAGGTGGTGGGCCCACAGGAGGGACTGCCCACGTCATCCCTTCGGGCTGAGCCCGGCCGGGCCCCGTGGGCTAAGGCCCGGCCACCAGGCGCTCGCATACGAGCCCCGACCCCAGGCCTGGCTCCAGGGTGGGGCCCCGGCTGCGCCATGCCGGGCGACGTCACTGTTCTCGTTATAGTGCGATCCATGGTGGTTTTTGGACTGCGCTTCGTCTGACTCGTCACCTGAGACCTGTCTGCCATGGGAGGCCCTACCAGGGGCATGAAGCCCCAGACAGCATAGCTCCCAGGATCATCCGAGTACTCAAACTCCCCCACCACGTTAAGGTGGCAGTCCAGGGGGGACTATATTTATAGTCTGAATATAAATATTATATTCAGACTAATATAAATATTACTATGAGTACTTCCTGTTTGAAGATGGCCGCATGTGTGTAATCGTCATTCACCTTGCTGCACAAATCGCGATATAACTTGTGATCTGAGAGACTAACTTAATCAAAATCTTTATATGTGGTTCACGAAAAGTCTGCCTTGGTGTTTTCTAAAAATCTGCACCGTTTGTGCGTCATTATGGCGGATAGTACGCGAAATCGCAGTAAGAAGGACGCCGAGTTGGATCAGGCTGCTTTGATCAATGAACTGCGCGCTCTTGGTGCCAAAATGGATCAAATGCAAACCACAATGGATGATATGCCAAATAAAATGCAAGCGCAAATGGACGTGAGAATAAATGATCTCCGTGACTGTCTAGAGAAATTGATCTCAGAGGGACAGGCTGCATTTAAAAGTGAGTTGGAGAAAGTGGCTCAGGAAATGCGCCAGAATTTGGATCTGGAGGTTAGCATTATGAGCTCCAGAATGGAAATGATTGAAACAAAAATGAACAAACGTGAAATGCGTGGCAAGCCCTTTGACCCGGATGTCTCCCTGGTTATCGTCGGGCTACCTCAGACGGAGGATGAAGATTTAGAGGCCAAAGTGAATCACCTGTTGCGAGAGGGATTGCGCTGCGACCCGGTGCCGAAGCTGGTGGCCACGGAGCGCGTGAGAGCGCGGGGACAGAAGCCGGGGCTCGTCAAGATGGAGCTCGAGACGGTACAGGACAAAGTGGCGGTGCTTCGGAGGAAGGCTAAACTCAAGGATAGCGACAGCTACCAAAGGGTTTTTGTATCATCTGCGAAATCCCACGCGGAGCGGCTGATGGATATCAACTTTAGGACTCTTCTTAGAGAGATCCCGGCCGCTAAGGACTATTACTTGGCTGGAAACGGGAGACTGGTTAAACGTGATGGTGAGGCAGCGGGACGTGGGCCACGGGTTTGACGAGACCATGCCCAGCCTGTAAGTACTGACTATGTTGTTTTGGTTCATTGGAACGTGAACGGATGGACGCTTAACAATTATAAACTGAGAGCGCATCTCCTTCTCTCGCTTGTGCCAGACATTATTTCTTTGAATGAGACTCATTTATCTAATCTTATACCTGAACTTGATGGATTTACCTGGATTGGCCATAACCGCATTGCTCATAAGAGAGCTATAAGGGCGTCTGGTGGTGTGGGTATTTTCGTTAGAAATAGTTTTCTGAACAATTTCTCTATTAAAGTTATTGATAAAACATATGATGGCGTTCTGTCTGTGCGCTTTGAGCATATGGTGTCACAATATTCATTCATTATAATGTCCTGTTATCTATCTCCAGAAAATTCTACATGGGGTCGCAATGCTGATCTTTTCTATGCTCATTTATTGTCATTAATATATGCGGCAGATGCTGATTCAGTTTATATATGTGGAGATTTAAACAGTCGCATTGCGGACCTTAAAGATTTTGCTGAAGAAGACGATACCCCCCTAGAGTTGGGTTGGACTCGGTCTTGAATAAACATGGTGAAAGTTTTGTACATTTTCTTAAAGATTCCAAATGCTGTATTCTGAATGGAAGGATAAGCCCTGCAAAGGATGATTTCACTTCTATATCAGTAAAGGGTAAAGCAGTGGTTGATTACATTGTGGTACCACATGTGGACCTGAAGACATGTGTTGAATTTAGAGTTGTTACCTCACATGACCTAGTGGACAGAGCTGAGCAGTCTATTATATGTATGATAGATGACAGATGTAGACTTCCTGATCACTCTGTGCTTTATTTGCGTTTTCAGACAGAGGAAACATGCCCAGGAAACTGGAACGGTTTTGTACCTGTACTGCAGAATAAAAGACCATTAAGAAAGTTGCATAGAAATTTTCTTGATTCTGAGGCCTGTAATACAACTCTTAATAATATTACAGAGCAATTAGAAAGCAGCGAGAAAACGCAGGGAAATTTGAACTATTGCTATGACTGTTTCTGTACACTATTGGATAAAGAAATTAGTAAATATAGACCAAATATAAAAATGCACGGAAGAAAATACAAAATCAAGCAGCCATATTGGAATGATGAATTACAGTCTATGTGGTTGAGTCTTCGTTTGGCTGAGAAAAGCTTTTTGAAATGTAAAGATCAGATTTTAAGGAGAGAGTTAAACAATACCTTTAAAAGCTGCCAAATGAATTTTGATAAAAAACTTAGATTTTATAAAAGACGTTACAAGAGAGGGAAGGCCCTTCAGTTGGAACACTTGCAAAGCAGTAACTCACAACAGTTCTGGAGAGAAATCAATAAGCTTGGACCTAAAAGAAAAAAGACAATTCCATTTGAAATAGTCACTGAAAGTGGGGAATCTTTATTCCAAACTGATCAGGTTTTAAACCGGTGGGAAACAGATTACAGAAACCTGTTTGCTTGTAATAGTTACCACCAGTTTGATGACCAGTTTCTAACAGAAATGTGTAGTGCAAAAATACTACTTGAGGAAAATCTTTATCCTTCTTGTTGTAATGATTTGTTAAATGGAGATATTACTTTGGAGGGGGTGAAGAAAGTCATTGAAAAGATTAAACCACATAAATCTGTGGGACTTGATGGATTGTCTAATGAGGTTCTCAGATGTCCTAGGTTGTTGAATCCTCTGTACAGGTTGTTTAAACATTGCTTTCAGAGTGGTATTATTCCATCAGGATGGTACAAATCTATTATAAAGCCTATTCCTAAGTCCTCGCAAGCTGATCCTAGAGTCCCTCTCAATTATAGAGGCATAAGTTTGTTAAGTACAGTTTACAAGGTGTTCTCTGCTATCCTGAATAACCGGCTCTGTGAATTTATAGAAATGAATCAAATACTGGTGGATGAGCAGAATGGATTCAGGAAAGGCAGGGCATGCATAGATCACATCTATGTTCTGTCCTCCGTAGTTCGAGCACGAATGCAGGAAGGCAAATGTACCTTTGTATGTTTTGTTGATTTCAAAAAAGCTTTTGATTGGATAAACAGAGACCTTTTGGAATATAAGCTCCTTAAGTATGGTATTGATGGCGATTTCTTTAAATCCCCATTAAAGCTCTGTATAAGCAACCAGCTGCCTGTGTGCAGTGAAACAAGGAGTGAACGATTTGAGGACGGATTGGTTTTCTACTCCATTTGGTGTGAAACAAGGAGATATTCTCTCTCACCTATTTGCAACTTTTACTATTTGGCAAGAATCACTTATAAGTATCTTGGTTTTGTTTTTCATGAGAATATGATTTTTTCTGATGGTAGAAGAGTACTAGCAGATTCTGCTGGGAGGGCTCTGGGTGCAGTTATCAGTAAGATGAAATTATGTCCTGATTTACTATTTTCACTCAGCTGTATGACTCAATGGTAGCTCCTGTTTTGCTCTATGCTGCAGGAGTATGGGGTTTTCAGGATGCTGCAGAGAGAACTCTGTCCAAAGCAGAGAGCTATGAGGTATTTCCTTGGAAGTCCATAACTGGTTCACTCCCAAGGCAGCCATAGGAGGGAGACATGGGCTCGGGAACCCTGCGTGGTGAAACAGTGGGCTGAAATGTTAAGACTTTGGAACGTCTGGTTCAATTACCGGAGGAGAGACTCACTAGGAAAGTCATTAATTGGGGACAAAACTCTATAAATGTCCTTGGTCTCAGGAGGTCCTTCAAATATTCACAAAAATAAATTCACAATCATTGTTTTGGAATAATTTACAGTGTAAAATAACAAACCACAGGCAGATCTACTATTTGATCATTACAAAGAGCAGTGGAAAATTGATATTGCTAAGAAAACCGAAATTGAGAACTTATTATTCAGATTAAAGAATGTTTTTCAACAGAGATTTATGTGAAATATAATTTGAAAAGAGGACAGAGGTCTCTGTGTGTCTCAGCTCAGAGCAGGAGTGCTGCCTCTAGAGGTGGAGGTGGGGTCGTTACAGAGGGGTACCTGAAGAGAACAGACGTTGTAATGTTGTGATCTATGTGTGGTGTGGAGGGATGAATTTCTACTTTATGTTCTATTGTCCATTGTATATGATTTAAGAACAGCTTTGTTTGAAACGAGTCGCAATGCAGTAATCCTGAATTATTTTGGTTGGCAGAATGGTGTTATGTGTGTTGGGATATTTAGAAATGATATTTTTTGTTTGGCAAGGATATGTGGAGAAAGCTATGGACAATGAGATTGAAAGCTTTGTATCCAGGAATTCTTGATTTTTCTGTGAAATGTTTATTGGTCATATTGAACATATTGTTTAAATGGTCGTCTTCCAAGTTATGTTGTATAGTGTCATATATAGCCCATGTGGGATGTGGCACAATATGTGCATGACACACTTAAATAAAATATTCATTTCATTCATTCACTATGACTCATTATACATATTACTATGGACATCATAAATAATAAAATGATCTATTAATATTTCCTCTTATCTCTCTCTTCCTCTCTCTCTTCTCTCTCTCTCTCATTCCTCTCTCTTCCTCTCTCTTCCTCTCTTCCTCATCTCCTCTCTCTCTCCTCTCTCCTCCTCTCTCTCATCCTCTCTCTCTCCTCTCTCTCTCCTCTCTCTCTTCTCTCCTCTCTCTCTCCTCCTCTCTCTCTCCTCTCTCTCTCTCCTCTCTCTCCCTCTCTCTCTCCTCTCTCTTCCTCTCTCTCTCCTCTCTCTCCTCTCTCTCTCCTCTCTCTCCTCTCTCTATCTCCTCTCTCTCTCCTCTCTCTCTCTCCAAAGCAGCATGTTTAGATAAAGCGTTCTTGGATGTCGGCCTGAATGTGGCTGTAGACAAGGCCTACGTTGTATCACACTAGGAGACTAAAGCAGACTAAAGGAGACTAAAGCAGACTAAAGGAGACTAAAGGAGACTAAAGCAGACTAAAGGAGACTAAAGGAGACCAAAGGAGACTGAAGGTGACTAAAGGAGCCTAAAAGAGACTAAAAGGGACTACAGGAGACTAAAGGAGACTAAAAGAGACTAAAAGAGACTAAAGTAAAGGAGACCAAAGGAGACCAAAGTAGACTAAAAGAGACTAAAGAGACTAAAGTAAAGGAGAGCCAAAGGGGACCAAAGTAGACTAAAAGAGATTAAAAGCGACTAAAAGAGAACAAAAGAAGACCAAAGGAGACTAAAAGAGACTAAAAGACTAAAAAAGACTAAATGAGACTAAAGGAGACTTAAAGAGACTAAAAGAGACTAAAGGGACTAAAGGAGACTAAAGCAGACTAAAGGAGACTAAAGCAGACTAAAAGGGACTAAAGGATACTAAAAGAGACTAAAGTAAAGGAGACCAAAGGAGACTAAAGGAGACTAAAGCAGACTAAAAGAGACTAAAAGAGACCTAAAGTAAAGGAGACCAAAGAGAGGACTAAAAGAGACCAAATGAGACTAAAGGAGACTAAATGAGACTAAAAGAGACTAAAGGAGACTAAAAGAGACTAAAAGGAGACTAAAGGAGACTAAAGTAAAGGAGGACTAAGGGGGACTAAAGAAGACTAAAAGAGACTAAAGCAGACTAAAGGAGAAAAAAAAGCAGACTTAAGAGACTAAAGTAAAGGAGACTAAAGAAGACTAAAGGAGACTTAGGGTGTATCAGACCTGAAAAGTCCTTTGCTCCGCTTGCTTTGATCCGAATCAAAAGCGGACCAAACTTTTTTCTTTTGCTCCGGTTCGTATTCAGACTGTCCTTTTTGCAAGTGAACTTTTTTATATAAACATATTGACACGTGTGACGATCGGCTCCTATTGGACAGAGCTCACGGAGGATAGACGCGGAACCGGAGGAAAACAGAGGGCTCGTATGTGCAGCATGTCTGCTCTGCCTATGTTTGCTCTTTTTAGACCAAAACCAACATCAACATCAACAGCAGCTCATATGGACGCAGGCCAAACACGTTGTTTTAAATATTGGAACAGCGTCAGAGAATGCGTGAGGAGAAAAGCCGAAGGAGACTGTGCGCTCCGTGCCCTGTCCCACACATGGATCTATGATAATAACTCTGTCCCACACATGGATCTCATGATAATAACTCTGTCCCACACATGGATCTATGATTAATAACTCTGTCCCACACATGGATCTATGATAATAACTCTGTCCACACATGGATCTATGATAATAACTCTGTCCCACACATGGATCTATGATAATAACGGCCCTGTTCTGCATTGTGGATAAACCATGGATCTATAATAACCACGGGACAAACAGACGCAGAGGATCAGGTAGGAACCAAAGAACACAATTCACTACATGATGCGGAATATTGCTCTTTGAGACGTGAGTCAAACAGTGTCAGGCTTTTAATAATGTTTGAGACGTGAGTCAAACAGTGTCAGGCTTTTAATAATGCAAATGGTTTGAAGATGCTTGCCATTAACATCACTGTATACTGTGAACAGTTCTAACTCCATAAGCCTGTTGCACAGCGTCTCCTCACTGCTCCAGGTCTGCACACGGCTCATTGTTGTTGTGTAGCGTTAGCATCATAGTTAGCATCATAGTTAGCAGCATAGTTAGCAGCATAGTTAGCATCATAGTTAGCATCATAGTTAGCATCATAGTTAGCAGCATAGTTAGCAGCATAGTTAGCAGCATAGTTAGCCGCTGCGTGGCTAATTCCTCAGTTTCTGTCTGCGGTGGCTTGTTAAGCCCAAAAAATGCGCACGTATCTTGGAGTTGTGTCGGATCGACACCGGATGTATTCAGACCTGATTCGACTTGGACCAGAATTCGTTTGGAAGCGGACCGAGACCACCTCAAAAAGTGGGTCTCGGTTCGGTTCTTTGGTCCGGACCAGGATTCGTTTGTGTGTATTCAGACCTGCATAAAAGATTCGGATCAGAGTTCCAAACGAATCCTGGTTCGTTTAAAGTGGAGCAAATGTGCAGGTCTGAATACACCCTAAAGGAGACCAAAGGAGACTAAAGCAGACTAAAGGAGACTAAAGTAAAGGAGACTAACGCAGACTAAAGCAGACCAAAGGAGACTAAAAGAGACTAAAGGAGACTAAAGGAGACTAAAGCAGACTAAAGGAGACTAAAGCAGACTGAAGGAGACTAAAGCAGACTAAAGGAGACTGAAGGAGACTAAAGCAGACTAAAGCAGACTAAAGGAGACTGAAGGAGACTAAAGCAGACTAAAGGAGACTAAAGGAGACTAAAGGAGACTAAAGTAAAGCAGACTAAAGGAGACCAAAGAGGACTAAAGCAGACTAAAGGAGACTGAAGGAGACTAAAGCAGACTAAAGGAGACTAAAGAAGACTAAAGTAGACTAAAGGAGACTAAAGTAAAGCAGACTAAAGGAGACCAAAGCAGACTAAAGCAGACTAAAGGAGACTAAAGCAGACTGAAGGAGACTAAAGCAGACTAAAGGAGACTGAAGGAGACTAAAGCAGAGTAAAGGAGGCTAAAGTAGACTAAAGGAGACTAAAGGAGACTAAAGTAAAGCAGACTAAAGGAGACCAAAGCAGACTAAAGCAGACTAAAGGAGACTGAAGGAGACTAAAGCAGACTAAAGGAGACTGAAGGAGACCTAAACAGCAGACTAAAGGTGGGGGGGGGGGACTAGTAGACTAAGGAGATTAAAGGGAGACAAAGGTAAAGCAGACCTAAAGGAGACCAAGGCAGACTAAAGCAGACTAAAGCAGACTAAAGGAGACTAAAGGAGACCAAGGGAGACCAAAGGAGACTAAAATAAAGGAGACTAAAGTAAAGGAGACTAAAGGAGACCAAAGTAAAGGAGACTAAAGCAGACCAAAGGAGACCAAAGGAGACTAAAGCAGACTAAAGCAGACTGAAGGAGACTAAAGCAGACTAAAGGAGACTAAAGTAAAGCAGACTAAAGGAGACTAAAGCAGACTAAAGGAGACTAAAGGGGACTAAAGGAGACTAAAGGAGACTAAAGCAGACTAAAGTAAAGCAGACTAAAGCAGACTAAAGGAGACTAAAGCAGACTAAAGGGGACTTAAGGAGACTAAAGCAGACTAAAGGGGACTTAAGGAGACTAAAGCAGACTAAAGGAGACTAAAGCAGACTAAAGGGGACTTAAGGAGACTAAAGCAGACTAAAGTAAAGCAGACTAAAGCAGACTAAAGCAGACTAAAGTAAAGCAGACTAAAGGAGACTAAAGCAGACTAAAGTAAAGCAGACTAAAGCAGACTAAAGCAGACTAAAGGAGACTAAAGCAGACTAAAGCAGACTAAATGATGTGTTTGCACCTGTTTTGTCGTGAGTCAGAGCTTCCACTTTGTGTTCAGTGACAGAGGAGCTGGTCTGCAGACGCTCCAGTGCAGCCTCTTGAGCTGATTCCACACAGACAGAGTTAGAGCCAACGCCTCCAGGTCTGAGCAACACTTTTATATCAACAAACCTTTGTCGTTGTTTTGGAGCGAGTCCACTTCTGTTTGGAGGGAGTCCACTTCTGTTTGGAGCGAGTCCACTTCTGTTTGGAGCGAGTCCACTTCTGTCCTCATGGCTGTAGAGGAAATCAAACTGTAAGAGCTGAAAAGCACAGTCTGTGTCTTTAATCATGTCAAAGGCACATCTGACTCTGTGACAGGTGCAGGCTCCGCACACAGCTCTGACAACTTCAAAAGGAAGAAAAACAACTCTCACACACTTTACTTGCAGACACCAGTCATTTTTTATTTATTTTATTATTTATCTGTACATAAATAAAACACTGGTGTCTGCAAGTTGGGGCCAGGACTCCCCTGAAAATGACGTTCTGAAATCTCAGTGAGACTTTCTTGGTTAAATAATGTCCATGCATAAAAATAGAACATAAACACAACTTATTCATGGCTGCCATTAAATTATGTTCAACACATGATTCAAAAGATATTTACCCTTGTTCTCCTGCAGATGTTTGATCTCCACTTTATTCTCCTGGTTCTCCTGCTGCAGATGTCTGATCCCCTCCTGCAGATGTCTGATCTCCACCTGCTGTGCAGACAGTGCAGCGCTCATCTGTCTCAGCACTGACTCAATGTCAAACGTAGAGAGCTCAGAAGACTCAGACTTTTGTCCAGAATCATCCAAACAATTCCCCTCAAAGAGAAAAGAGGAACTCAGCAGCAGCACCAGGAAACCAGCCGTGTCCATGGTCCTCTGGAGGAGTGAGGTCTGTGGAGGTGTGAGGAGGTGTGTGGAGGTCTGTGGAGGAGTGAGGAGGTCTGAGGAGGAGTGAGGAGGTCTGTGGAGGAGTGTGGAGGTCTGTGGAGGTGTGAGGAGGTCTGTGGAGGTGTGAGGAGGTCTGTGGAGGTGTGAGGAGGTCTGTGGAGGTCTGTGGAGGAGTGAGGAGGTCTGTGGAGGAGTGAGGAGGTCTGTGGAGGTCTGTGGAGGTCTGAGGAGGCCTGTGGAGGTGTGAGGAGGTCTGTGGAGGAGTGAGGAGGTCTGTGGAGGAGTGAGGAGGTCTGAGGAGGAGTGAGGAGGTCTGTGGAGGTCTGTGGAGGTGTGAGGAGGTCTGTGGAGGTCTGGTTTTATACCCTCTGACTGCTCACGGCCGAGGACACTGTTGTAGATAAGAAGGTTTAATCTCATTTACATTTCTACATCAGAACAGATGTTATTTATCCACCGTTCACACAGGTTTATGTAACACTCTTTACACAAGTAAGTAATCTTTATTTATGTACCGCCTTTCACAGACCAGAGTCACAAAGTTTACAATTGTTATTTCATCAACACTTACTACACACAACACTTTATTATGAACGTGTGAGACCCAGATCCGACGTTAGAACCTTCTGCTGTTGATAAATGCCGCGGTGAAAACTATCGTATTTATGAAAGTCACGCCTATAATTATTCAGAAACCGCCCGTTTTTACGACAGGTCAGCAGGAAGTCGGCCACGAAGACTGTTTGGAAGCCTCAAAAAGCCTTTGGCACGCACTCCTGAGTTTATTCACCTTTGTTTAAAAATAAATATATGTGTTTTTTTCCTAGTGTCTAGATCCACTGCAGCACTCATCTCTCTTGAACTTTAGAAGTCAATAAATAAATAAATAATGAATGAATAAAAGTTAATATCTCGGCCTCAGCGGTGGCTCTCATCATGAACCGGGTGAAGCGTCTGAGCGATCTCTGGGAGAGAGAAAGATACGTATGAGAAGCTTTTGGAAAGTGTCCGTGATTTCACAGATAATCTTTGGATCAAAATGTCTGAATGGTGCACACCACATTTGAGCAGTGATGCGGTGGGACCTGTCCTGGGACCTGTCCTGGGACCTGTCCTGGGACCTGTCCTGGGACCTGTCCTGAGACCTGTCCTGGGACCTGTCCTGGGACCTGTTCTGGGACCTGTCTTGGGACCTGTCCTGGGACCTGCTGCGCACTTCCCGAGCTATACTTGAGCCCGTTCCCACAGAGAAGCGCGTAGCATCCTATCTATAAAGTGCCCACATGCAGAGGACAGGGGGGGGGGCTGAGACAGTTTTGAGCAGGATCAGGTATGTTTATGAGGCTTTAAGCACAAAACTAAGGAAAAACCACATTGCTTTGCCAGAGGTGAATGAGGCAACACATGTGCGTAACTACACAGCGCAGGGTCGGCCACAGATTTACAGAGTTAGTAAGTCAAGTGTATTTGTTGAGCGCCTTTCACAGACCAGGATCACAAAGCACTTCACATTAAAAAAACTTAGAGAAGAAAATAATACACACAAGTCAGATTTAAAACCAAAGATTTTTTCTGATGCGCAAATTAAAAGTTAGAAATGTGATGCTCAATGAAAGCTTATAATTTTGCCAGAATGGGAATATGTTTATTGTTGTCCAAATGTTGAATTTCATGCGTGTTTAGGCGTGTTGTGATGAGGGTTGAGATGGGTGTAAAATGTACACCACCTCCTGATTCTGTGTATATTTTGTGCGTACCGTACGCCCACGTCCAGATTGATAAATGCTGAAAAGTGCATATCAGTGAATTTCACTTATACTGGTAGGTACAGTCTGAGAACACTGACTGTCATCACTTAAAACACTTGGCTGCATCATTTAGAGTGTCATATCCTTAGGTGTGAGTCCCTTTAATGCTGTATGTGTGACAAAGTTGTTACCTGTTGTTGCTTTATTGAAGCAGATAAATCTAGGGTTAATGAACATATTTTCAGTTTGATGTTTTGTAGTGCTGTGGAAGAAAATGCTTGTCCCAGAGTTATTTACCTGCTGTTTACAGCTCTGGTCTATATTGCTCTTGTGTGTGTTGAGTGGTATCCCTACAGTTGTCCTAACCAAACATACATCCATTTTCTTTCCCCCATTCCTGGGTCTGGGGGTGACAGTCAGAGCTGCACCCAGTCCACAGAGCACCCCTCTCTGATCCTCCTGCAGGTGCTGAGTCCACAGGAGCCTTGATTGTTCAGCAGGGGCTTCAGGCAAAGTGGGGTTAAGTGTCTTGCCCAAGAACACAACGACAGCAGTCATCAGTGGGAGTCATGAAGTAAGTCTTAGTATGAAGCAGGATTACTATTACAACAACACATGATCAGTAGGGTAAAACTAACCTGTCTGACGACGGTCTACTGTTACTAACCCCAAGCACTGGTATACAGAAACAGCTTTTAATTACTTTACAAAGGAAGGTACCTGAAAGCACATGGAAGCATCGTTTGTTGTTTTAATATTCTAATTCATCTCTCTTAATGTTTCAGAGTTGTTTCATCAAGGCGGATCACAGCAGTGAAGAAGCATCTGAGGCCTTTCATTGGTTTAACTGCCACCATTCAGCAGTGACATAAGGTCCAGGAAATGGAACACACCGTCTTGGAGAGTGGATCCATTCAAGATGTGACAGATTTTGAGGTTTGGCCTTAAAATCCTTATTAAAAACAATTTTTTTCTGATAAAACACATTGAAAACATGAATTTCCCACCTTTGCAATGTGTTTTTGTGTTATAGATAAGTAATAAATCAGTAAAATAACTTTTTATATCAACGCCTCTGATTGGCCAGAAAAATGATGACTTACTTGTTGGGGTCGCAGCTCCCGCTTCACTGTTTATGGCATTGCTCCTGCTGCCGCTTTGACACAAATACACCTTAAAATGGGTGTTTTTTGTATGGCCCCGGGATGCGGCAATGAAAGTTACCAAAAGAAGAGTGTAAACGATCTTTGACTTATTCAGAGAAGGCGACGGTCCAAACAAACTGAGAGAAGACACCAGCGCCAGGTCCATGAAACTAGTTCTATCAAGCTCCAACTAAAATCAATTTAACGAGTTTCAACCTAGCCTGGCCTTATCCATCCGTACACTCTGCTCAATCATCATTTCCTGCATGTAACGTCTGTGTCTGGTCCCTGTGTTAGCGATTACAATCGGTTGAATTTTGACCGACCAATCAGAGAGCACGGAAGAAGAGTGTTGTAGTTAGATGTGGGTGACATCAAGAGTTTGCATCGAACGGGAAGGTCTTTGTTTGGCGACAAATGCGATAGTAAAGTATTAACGGCTCGACACACGGGAGAAGACAAATGAGAGCGATCAGCGAAACTCAACGCTGTCGCTCAGATAACATGACAAACGGGGCGCGATGCGGCAAGCGGCACAGGCCGGCGATGTCACCTCCGCTGATTGGTTCTCACCTTGACGACAGCGTCAAAAAGTTGAGCCGATTTCAACTTTCTGGGATCGCGTCGCTGACCCGCGCGTGCACGATACATGCACGAGCGGGAGGATTTCACACGCAAGTTTTTCGCCCGTCGCTGAGCAGGAGGCTCGCTAGCGATTGACGCTAGGGCTCCATTAGCAGCAAAGGAGATGGCGAAAGCTAGGTTAAATGCTAAATGCTGACGACTCACATGGGCGCAATAGTAAACTCAGATCCAATCGTTTCAATCTGCAAAAGGAGTTAACCCCTCCCACCTGTAAACGGAGATCAATGTAGCACCTCCAGATATTAGTACGAAAAGTAATTTGTACTGTGGTGTGGTACGACCAGGCTAGTTTCAACCCAGTATTCAGCAGAAAACACAACTGTCAAATGGCAAGGTATAGGCTAAGAACTTTATGGATACTAACCATTTGCTTATAGCCGCAGTACACTCTTGTGTGCAGTGTATAGTTTGCATGGACTTACAGAAATGCATTAGTGACGGAGCACTGCAGACTGTAGCCACATCCCCCCCCCATTAGTCCTATAGCGCCATCCTATTGGACGCAAACCTATAGGATGAGCTATATAAACCGCCCAGAGCCGGCATCCTCTCCTCTTCTTTTTATCCTCTACACGAACAGTTGTCGATCATCAGAGGAGAACAGACTTCTGCTTAAATGTTCAGAGGACACAGTGCTGGTGTCACTGCTGGTGTCACTGCTGGTGTCACTGCTGGTGTTACTGCTGGTGTCACTGCTGGTGTCACTGCTGGTGTCACTACTGGTGTCACTGCTGGTGTCACTGCTGGTGTTACTGCTGGTGTCACTGCTGTTGTCACTGCTGGTGTTACTGCTGGTGTCACTGCTGGTGTCACTGCTGGTGTCACTGCTGGTGTCACTGCTGGTGTCACTGCTTGACTGCTCAGAGACAGGCCATGGTCCTGCACTAGCACAATTTGTCTCCTGGTGTGAAACCCATTTCTTGGACTTTAATGTCGCAAAGACCAAAGACATGGTCATTGATTTCAGACGCGTCTATCATTAAACGGTGGCAGCAGAGAATGTTCCTGTTGAGGAAATTGAACTCTTTTAATGTAAACAGGACAATTCTGAATCATTTGTATTGTTCTTTTATTGAAAGCCTTCTTAGCTTTTCTTTTATCTGTTTGTTCCAAAGCCTGAGGCTGAAGGACAGAAACAGGTCACAGAGTTGTGAGAACTTGCTCTAAAATCACAGGTGGTAAACTCAGAGACCTTCACTCTCTGTGGGAGGAACAGGTGCTGAATAAAGCTAAATGTATTCTGGCTCAGCCCAAACATCTGCTGATCGCTGACTTTGTATTGATGCCTTCAGGGCGTCATTTTTATGCTCCAGCATATAAAAAAACGTTTCTCCAATTCTTTTGTGCCCTCTGCCATAAAACTGTTGAACTCTGGTCGAGGTGGTTGACTTTTGGGAATTGTGTTGTTCAGTGTTGTTGTGTAACTTATTTTGTGTAACCTGCTGCTGTGTGAACTGTGAGACTCACTGTGTGTTTGTGTAGAGCAGGAGTGTCAAACTTATTTTGGTAGAGGGCCATATAAAAATGAAAGGGCTGGTCAGGGGCCGAAAGAAGAAGTGGGTTTCATTTATTATACTTTTTTATAATATGAAGGTATTTATATAAATGACTTGTTTCACATTAGTTAGATTGGATTTTCTTTTCTGATTATAATAAGTTCAGTTCCTGTGACTGGACCAAATATTGAAGGTTTAGAGGAAGATTGTCTACTTCTGTGTGGATCATTGGGACTATTGGTCCTCCCAACTCTCAATCATTCTAGTGATTTGTGCTCGTCCAATAAGACCACAGAGTTTTGTTCAAAAAGTGGAGAGGGTGGTTCTTTAGAGAAAATTGTGAAATCCTCTTCATATCTTTAAGAAGAAATGTAAATGAAGACTCG